CGTTTCATTCCGCTGATAAAATTGAGTGCAAACTGCGAACGATCGTCACGCCACGCTCGGTAATTATCTTCATCGAGCCATCTCTCAATTTCTCGTTACTTTTTGCTACGAAGTGATGATGCACGCTCGGGGAAATTCGGGCTACGATTAAGCGTTAAACAGGGTCACGATGATGTGTCACGTGTTGTCAAGGAGTTAAAGGACACGCAGCTATCGAAGTTAAAGGACTTATTCCGCTGCAAGTATTTCGAGATGAAAAGGGACACTTTCTGTCGCGGCAGCGGGTCACGCCATTCAGGATATGTTAATTTCGGCCCGGATCGCGTTCAGATCTCACCGATGGCTATGTCGACCCGCTAACATTCCGACAAATGTCACGAAACCTTTAAGGAAGGGAAAGCCGAGTCAGGCCCGCGGATACGCTCGTTGCGAAAGGTTTCGCCGCTGCACGCTTATTTATTCGACCACGGAGCCGGACAACGAAACCGCGCGCGTGTGCTCCCGGATTACAAGCCGGCGCGCTGTTATCGCATAAATATCCTTTCATTAGCGGGCAGTCGCTAAAGCTTCTTACGGCGGCTCCTTCCGTCGCGTTTCGCAAAATTCCCTGGCCACCGGCGTGTTTGCCTCTCCTCTGGTGTCATCGGAGCGGCCCGGATGATTCTCTGTGTCCCCTTTTTGCAAACGAATGCTCGCTGGAAACCGGACGAAACCGACGAATATCGAATGAATCGGCGCGCGGAGGGGCCGCGATGGAACCGTGCAGCTTCCAGAGGCCGGGAATCCCGCGAAACCGGCGATGTTAATTTATTATATTCGAGTTAATTTGTAGCGTGTCGGTAGGAGAACGTAATGAATGGTATTACGGTAAATTAGTGCCGGTAAAACGTATCCGGCAAACACTGCCGCGAAGGGTACGCGGGCCCGATAGGTTGAAAAAGCAGCGGAGATTAATCGAGAACGGTAGAGATCGGTCGAAGGCGCGCGCGTGTGGTCCGGCGGGGACCGATCGAGAAAGAGGGAAAGGAGGAGGCGGAGGAAAGTGTAAATTTTAGCGAAAAAAAGTGCTCATTGATGAATAGTTTATCGTGTCCTCGACCGGAGGAGCCGCGAGATCCGCAGCCGCATTCGCAGCCTCCGCTCCGTGGATCTCTGCACTCTGCGGAGCTCTCGCCCCACCACCCTAACGATCCGCTGCACGAGCTTCCCCTTCCGCCGGCAGGACAATGGGCCCTACCTAAATATCGGGGGATCATGCTAAACGGCGGTAGATCAAAGGCACCGACAGAATCCAGTGGCGAGCTATCATAATAATTAGGCTCGCTCGCGCCTCTTTGTATCGGGATAGAAAAGCCGACGGGAAGGTCGAGAGACGAAGAAAAAGGGCCGGACCGACCGCTCTTTGGTTAGCTTTGCTCTCTCGAACTCCTCTTTCTCTCCATTCACGCTTCTCGCTGGCCAAATCGCTGCCAGAAACACTCGAAATTTTCGAACCGATCTCGGACGATCGACTTCGCCTCGTTCCTTCGATCCCCGATTCGATATGTACTTTATCTCGTACTCTCCTCTCTAATTTCACTCATCTTTTGCTCTCTACTTACTCGCTCTTTGCCTTGCTTCCCCTCTGGTCTTCGTATTATTTTATACTATGATCTATACCGTGATATCTTGATCCGAGCCGCGATTCCCGGTTCGCTATCCTACTTTACTCCTTATTTTATTTTCTATTCCAGCCCCGTACTATGATCTTTGCACTTCCTCATTGCTTGCTCCTTGCTCCGCTAATTTCAAAGTGCGCGTGGCAACTGAAAATCTTCCTAAGCGAAAACACCACCGTTTCGACGAAAACCCTTCGGACGATCGGTGTCGCTTTTTATATCCCGATCAATAGGCTGCTTGTTCCGATGTTTTTCCTCTTCCTCGTAATGACGTCGTTCTCATACCGTTCCCGTTATTGTTAACTACTATTTGTTCCTCTGCGTTCCTTCTTTTAATGGATGCTATTACAATCGCAAAAACAAAGTCCAGAATTTCGTATCGACACCGGCGAACAAGGCCGGCGCAAACTTCCTCGTTTCTTGCGTACGCGCTATCGTCGACTCCGTTTCGGGAAGCAGACCGTAACGTACCGTGGCTAGCGTAAAAATCCTGTTCGACGGAGAACAGGGAATCGGGGCGCTTAGCCCGAGTAAAACCCTCGACTTGTTCCTGTTGTTGGTGAACGACAGACGCTCCCATTCAGAGGAGCACGGCTCATCCTGCTCGGTGGATGTCAGTATTCGGCGCGACTCAATCTCCCGACGAACGCACACAGGAACGTGTTCCCATCCGTTGTGGTCGGCTGACAATTCGAAAAATGAATACGTAAGTCTGCGGACAGCGATTGTCTCGTGTCGTGAACGGACTCGTAGTCCTCACCGCAACGACTCGAATTCGAATGGGGCTCGGCACGGATCTCGGCTCCCGGCTCGGCACGAAAAGCCCAGGTCCGGCGTTACACGCGAAAAATTCACCGGTGGCGGAATCCTCGTCCTTTTTTTCCCCTCCCCGTCCGAGGACGCTTGTTCCTCTCTGTCGTTTAGGCCGGAGAAGTCACGCGAGCATCTCCGGATAGAATGTCAGCCAGATGGGGCGCAAAAAATCACGAGGTCTCTCGCGGTGCTGGTGAACTGTGAAGGAAATTAGGCGAGGGGCGCCGGGGGACGCCGGCAGGGGAAGCTGAATTCGATGTTCGACGGGGACGGCCGCGGAATTTCTAACGACTGCCGAGGCCGGAGCGGAGTCGAGCGGAATGGATATGTTTCGCGCGGTGTCGGGACATCGGCTAGCAGAGCCGTCCGCGCTCAGATTGCTCCACAATTACACGGGTGAATCGATTCTCAGGACTGATCCGGGGATAATAGTCTGTATGTAATAGTCGCCGATACCTTTCTAGGTCCGTTCCGGGCCAGCGACGCTCGAAACGACGTCATTCGAGCATCATTTTTCCAACGGTCAAGACCTACACGGGCCCGCGACTCCCAACCGATTCCGGAAACATGTTCGCCGCGGTCAACTTCCGCTTGTCCAGATCGATCCTCAAAAAATAACAGCTGAACTCTACCGAGATCGGTCGGTTAGCTCGGTGGGATCGGTTCCGTAGCCGCTCCGCAATCCAATTTCTTTCGATCCCGCGATGCTTCGTGGCTGATATCAAACGATTACGGTCACGGAGAAATCAGATTGGTGATGCAACGAGCGGAGAGCACGAGCTCCGACGAAGGCGTCTCTTGGCAAACTTTAGGGAGAAACGTTTCTACGATGGCATTTCGGTGCTTCGTAGCAGCGTTTTCGCCTGTCGACACATTCGATTACTTCTATTATTGTCTCGCAATAAAGTGGTAAATTTTCATCCGCCTGTGCACCGGTCGAGGATTGCGTAAATGCCAACCGATTAGATAGATGCGGTAGGTATAAGATTTATCGTAATATTTTTGGTTCACTTTCGCACGAGAGACCGTTGACTCGTAGGACCATTTGGGCCCTCTTTACGGTATTCGCTCTAGAAGTTGACTCTTTCAACGCGAACCATTGACCGGGTCGGTAAACTGTGGATCAGTGTACTGTATTTGAATTTTACGTAATGACCCGGAAGTGCCGGCATTGACCTTTTCAGGACACTGGGAGGAAGGCGTGCAGCCGAAGAAATTTTGTGGTGCGAGACATTGACACGTAACTTAACTTTATTTAATAGCTGTACACGATTTAAGCTCAACAATAATTGTTAACTAATACTGATCATCAAAGAAAGAGCGTTCGTCGATCATCGCCGGCTTAATTATACCTTGGTGGATGGTGCCGCCAAGGTGGTTGAAAGAACAAGGAGTGGGAATTTCGAAATTACAAAAATATTGCAGCATCGAGCTTTCATTAGCACACGATAGCAATGTCCTGGCGTCCGATAATTCTAGGATGAGGGGGAGGCGGAAAGTAGGTGTCGTATTCAAAATATGAACCATTGGAAGCATCAATTTCGGGTTCACTGGGTTCACCCGGCTTCGACATCGAGCTCTAACAGCTGAGCTGGACGTGTGATAGAAAAGACGTCGAACGCGAACGTTCTTATATCGTAGAGAAACGCTGGCACGGTCAACGGAAGAACGCTATTATCAATCGGCTTAAACCGCATACTCGTTTTTCGATAGTTAATCGTTCTTAAAGACATTCTACTAGGAGATTTGGTCCTCCCTGTATTCCATCTCCTCTAGAATACTTTCGTCTTGCTCGCTCCGTTTCAATCCCAGAACAATTTCAGCAGACAGTAAATAGATAATTACCGATCGAATCCTCCGGTTGATCCGGTCGAATTACGGCGGACTTCGCGATCCGATGCCAGGGCGTTCCGATAAGTCCCGGTGGAGAGCGGAACTTGGGAATGGTCGGCCCGGGTGGGATGAAATCACGGTGGTGGGCCTCGTTAGGCGTTTTCGTCGTGGAGGGTCAAGTCCCACGTTCGCCGGAGAGCCGGGCTTTACCGCGGGAAGAGAGTTCCGAGCCTGTGTCGAAGAGAGAGATAGGGAGAGAGAGGGCAGAAGAGGTTGACCGAAAGAAGACGGAGCGAAGAGAAAGACAGTTCGAAAGGGGATATCGACCGAGTAAGGGAGGAAAGAAGGAAGAAGGTCGAAGGCCGGGGTACGTTGAGGCCGCTCGAGCAGCGCCACAGGACGTTAAGTACGTCTCGTAAAAATTCCATCGAGGCAGCGTCATTTTGCCGTGTCGTAGGGGCTACGATCGCGAGTGGGCAGGGGCAGGAGGGGACTCGGTGGGCGGGGCGATACGAAGCGCCGCCCACTCGGCTAACCCAGACCGGGTAGACTCGCCCCCATATCGACGGTAGGTGGTGCGACCGGCTGGAAGCGTTGCCAGCGGATTCGAGCTGCTCGATCCCCACCATTGTCCTCTTCGAGGCGGTCGGGAGAGTAGAGCCCGCCCCTCGAGGAACCCGGCGATACCCGAGATCCCCGTCCCCGTACCATTTCGAGTCACTGGCTTGGACTGGCCTGATACACGGAGCCTGTCCAACTCCCGCAGCTCGTTCACCATCGACGTTTATTGACGTTTCGTCCGCGCATCGACCGCTCGCTCGCTGGTTCCGCATGCCCGCGTCGATCCCAGCTGGCCTCGGGACCATCGGACTCGTTCGAACCCCGTCAACGAACCCCGCAGACGGAGCTCCCCGGTGCACAGTGTTACCGTGCGCGCGCGGCAGAATCACGACGACGGCTTGTTCGCGCGAGTGCATCGACATTTCGGCTTGGTGCGGGATGAGAGTTCGTCACTGACCGCGCGCGCGTTTCACGCCTTCTGAGACCCGGGAGTCTTCGGAGACCTGGGATGACGGCGGCGTGGACAGTGGTTTCTTGATCGCCGAGGATGACGAGCAGGCCCGCCGGTGCTTGTGGGAGGCTCGACAGGCTCTGCCAGTGATGTAACGCGAGACCGTGGCCGACGATGACTGGAGGACGATCAGCAGAATGACAGTGCACCGTTGAAAGCAACAACTGCGTGGAAAAGTCGACCGTGCGGTGGCCAGTGGCGTGCTCGCGACACCGGGATGACTCGAGCAGCTCGAGGGGATTAGCTCCTCGAATCGTGGACGATCCGATCCGATCCGCTGGTCTCGATCCGCTCGACTCCGTGGACATGTGTGCGGCTCGCGTCGACGTCGACGGTGCCCGTGAACAGTAAATCGATCGCGACAGTGATGCAGGACAGAGATTATTGAGGCGGCGCCGCGTGAACGTGTTCGGAAAACCGCTCGTCGAAAGTCAACGATCGTTGTTGGAAGAGCTCGCAGCAGTGATGTGCACCACGGAGATGACGGAAGCGTACACGATGTCGCCGTCGACGACGGTGTCTTCCAGCGCGACGACCCCCGGCTGCCTGGCCTCGCCGGTCCACCGACGGACGCCTTGCCGGGGCTCGCCAGGCCGGGGCGACGCTCAGGACGACGAGGACGAGATCTCCGTCGGCTGCCCGAGCCCGTTGCCGCTGGTGGTTGTCGCGCCCGCCGCGGATGAGGAGGAGAGGCTGTCGCAGACCAGGGAGGAGTACGACAGACTGAGTCCTCCGAGGAGAAGCTACCCGAGGGAATCGATGATCGACGACGACGACAGCTACTCGAGAGGCGAGTACAGGATGTCGAACGGCAGAAGTTTGCGTGCCCGCGAGAGCAGCGCGGGCGAGTCCGTGACCACGCTCAGGGAGGACGAGGAGGACGAGGAGGACGACGAGGAGCTCGACAGCAGGACCAGCAGCAACGGTCCCTCGGCGACAGGCGCCACCGACGACTACTTCAAGCCCCTGAAGCGCCTCAAGATGGTGCAGATGCAGCACTCCGACGAGGAGGACGACAGGGACCGCGACACCAACGAAAGAGGCGTGAAATCCTTCAGCATCTTGGATATCCTCTCCCACAGACCCAAGGCGAAGATCGTCCGGCCGTGGGACACGGTGGAGTCGAACCTCGGCCACCATCATCGCCACCATCTGCAACAGCAACCACATCGCCAGCACCACCTGCACCATCACAATCATTCCACCGCGCCCAGGGATCTGTCCTTGATGGGCATGTCCCTGGCCTCCATGTCCGGATCCATCAGCGAGCCTCCTTTGAGCAGCTCGTCCTCCTCCGGGAGGAGCTCCGTGTCCGATTCCGGCAGTCCCGATCCCTTGGCGCATCATCACAGTCTGCACCACGGCCTGCACCCCGGGCTCCATCATCCTGCGCTCCAGCAGCAGCAACAACAGCAACAGTTCAAGAGGAAAACGTCGCAACAGCATGGCGGACAGGCTGGACATCACGGGAAGAGGACCACCGGTCAGGGCAGCCCTCTCGACGCGCTCTTCCAGATGACCAGCAAGACGTTCGACGCTGGCGAACACAGTCAAGGTGAGTCCTCCATGGCTGATTACCGTTATTTCTTCGTAACGCTGTTAGAGGGCCGATCTGCCATCTTCTTTTGGTCTAACCACGCTCGCTGTCCTTGCTCTTTTATACTTATAAAAATGGCCGATCGCAAGAGGTGCATTGTTTCTAAAACTGTTTGCATCTTGTCGATGAACGAACGTCTTAAATCCGGCACAAGCGACGTACAGAACGTCGCGCAATCTGTAAATTCCAAGAGAGTTAAATTAGAGCGTTGTTCGCGTGATCTCGTAAGGGTCGAAATTTTTGAATCGTGGGTTAGAGGTGAACGCGGAAGGATCTCGTTCGGATGACACGGTGGAGGAGTTATTGCGCGGACAACGCGGTGGGAACCGTTCACGTGTCTCTCTAGCTCCGGTCACGAAACAACGTGACGCTAGAAAATAAGTTACTAAGCGAATTTCGAAAGAGCTGGCCGCCGACACGTGCGAATGGGACTTAATAGAATCGAGCGTACGGTTTTTATCAATGACGGGGGGGCCTGTCTTTTGTGGCAGCGAGTGTGGACGCTGAATGCGCCGCTTGATTTTGATTGATGCTCTTTGTGGGCGTACGAGTTTCGTTTCGCTGCTCCTCGGACTTCTTTCATTCAATTATCCGCGAAGATTCGAACCGCTTTTTGCTCTTCGAGCTCTGGCGAACGTTAAATACTAGAAACGTTTGGGGCCCACCGATACTTACGCTCGAAAAGTAGGATAATAGGTAAAAAGGATGATGATAATAATAATAATAATTCTACACTCCGTTTCTCTCGCGTCGCGGAATTTTATATATTTACAATAAAGAATATAAACTATAATACAACTCGATTCAATTATATCACAATTTGAAACGTTGATCGTTCGACGGTTCGATCTCGTCTCCTCGATTGTCTATTGGTAACACTCTTCCGTGGCAACCCCTATCTCCCATTACTTTTCAAGGAGTTGCTGACAACAGGGCAGTTTCACATTGCAGCGACTTGATATGGACAAGTCGTCGTAACAATAATAATAATGTTAATAATAATAATAATTCGTAACCGTGCCGGTTCGTTCGTTTTTTTTGTTGCTCGCGAACGTGGAAAATTGGCGCGCCGTTTTGTAACGAGAACGCGATTGAGCAATACGCACGGAGAAACAGTTTACCGATTTCCGATGCGTACAGTTCGCCACGTAAATTATTCAACCCCTCGTCACCCATCTGTGGCGTCGGACGCGCGTGCACGACGCGTTTGTTGTGTGTTTACCTCATTTCGAAAGTGAGAAATGAACATTAAAAGGCTCGCCGGAGCGCGCATACTTTAATTCCCATGCGGACCGTTGCTGTGTGCTGCAATTGATCTCTATTATTCGCACACAATGACTCAGGAGCAAATTATCCTCAAATTACGTCCATTAGAAATTGAATTACCGCCTCCGGAAATACGGACCTGTCGGTGCACACTCGGGGCCCGTGTTCGAGGAAACATTACCGCCTAAATTGTTTTTTTGATCCACGAGTTTCTCCTATTTCTCGGCGCTGTCGGCTCCGTTTCAAAACGAATCTCGCATTAGGCGACTTCCACCCAAAGTTTCATTCGTGTCAGAAAACGTTTACACGTCGGCGCTCCGTCGACAAAATTGTCGCCGCTCGAAAATTGCGAGGCGATTTCCAATAGGCCGTCGATTCGTCAATATTTATCTTCGTCAATCGGTTCGATCTGTGTTGCGGTGACGAACGCTCTGCGACAACCACGGTCCCGAGACTGCAGAAGAGCAAGAAATGCTGGTAGCAGAGTCGTCGAGCACGTTCCAAGTGCTACTTTCCAGAAGCACGCTTCCACGAACGCTACTAATATTAGTAGCCGCGTGGCTGTTACGAGGTGCACCGTAATTGAACGAGGATNTAGAATCGAGCGTACGGTTTTTATCAATGACGGGGGGGCCTGTCTTTTGTGGCAGCGAGTGTGGACGCTGAATGCGCCGCTTGATTTTGATTGATGCTCTTTGTGGGCGTACGAGTTTCGTTTCGCTGCTCCTCGGACTTCTTTCATTCAATTATCCGCGAAGATTCGAACCGCTTTTTGCTCTTCGAGCTCTGGCGAACGTTAAATACTAGAAACGTTTGGGGCCCACCGATACTTACGCTCGAAAAGTAGGATAATAGGTAAAAAGGATGATGATAATAATAATAATAATTCTACACTCCGTTTCTCTCGCGTCGCGGAATTTTATATATTTACAATAAAGAATATAAACTATAATACAACTCGATTCAATTATATCACAATTTGAAACGTTGATCGTTCGACGGTTCGATCTCGTCTCCTCGATTGTCTATTGGTAACACTCTTCCGTGGCAACCCCTATCTCCCATTACTTTTCAAGGAGTTGCTGACAACAGGGCAGTTTCACATTGCAGCGACTTGATATGGACAAGTCGTCGTAACAATAATAATAATGTTAATAATAATAATAATTCGTAACCGTGCCGGTTCGTTCGTTTTTTTTGTTGCTCGCGAACGTGGAAAATTGGCGCGCCGTTTTGTAACGAGAACGCGATTGAGCAATACGCACGGAGAAACAGTTTACCGATTTCCGATGCGTACAGTTCGCCACGTAAATTATTCAACCCCTCGTCACCCATCTGTGGCGTCGGACGCGCGTGCACGACGCGTTTGTTGTGTGTTTACCTCATTTCGAAAGTGAGAAATGAACATTAAAAGGCTCGCCGGAGCGCGCATACTTTAATTCCCATGCGGACCGTTGCTGTGTGCTGCAATTGATCTCTATTATTCGCACACAATGACTCAGGAGCAAATTATCCTCAAATTACGTCCATTAGAAATTGAATTACCGCCTCCGGAAATACGGACCTGTCGGTGCACACTCGGGGCCCGTGTTCGAGGAAACATTACCGCCTAAATTGTTTTTTTGATCCACGAGTTTCTCCTATTTCTCGGCGCTGTCGGCTCCGTTTCAAAACGAATCTCGCATTAGGCGACTTCCACCCAAAGTTTCATTCGTGTCAGAAAACGTTTACACGTCGGCGCTCCGTCGACAAAATTGTCGCCGCTCGAAAATTGCGAGGCGATTTCCAATAGGCCGTCGATTCGTCAATATTTATCTTCGTCAATCGGTTCGATCTGTGTTGCGGTGACGAACGCTCTGCGACAACCACGGTCCCGAGACTGCAGAAGAGCAAGAAATGCTGGTAGCAGAGTCGTCGAGCACGTTCCAAGTGCTACTTTCCAGAAGCACGCTTCCACGAACGCTACTAATATTAGTAGCCGCGTGGCTGTTACGAGGTGCACCGTAATTGAACGAGGATGACATTTTTCTTTTTTCCTTTGCTACCCGCGCCCGCCACGGTCTCCCGACGTTTTTCTCTCTTCATCTGTCGCCTGTTCTCCCGTGTTTACGTACTCCCGATGCTAGGACATATCGATCCCGAGATCGCGGGAACAGATTCATGTCACACGAGGGACAAACGCGCGATTACGCGACAAGCTTAATGGGGATGCACGCTCGGCGGTCATTCACGGCGATGTCGGTCAACGTTGACTCAGTTTCCCAGTCAATGGAAACGTGACCGACGATTTACGAAGCATCGGGGGATCGCCGCTGTTTCGTTTCAGGCTGGGAACGTCGATTCTTCCGCTAAAATTACCGGCTCGACGATTGCCAACAGTTTGTTTGCGTTGTGATTCGACGATTAAATTTGGTCAAGCTTGGAGCGAGTTTCGAACATCTCGCAGACCGATTTGTCGCTCGACCATCGTATTCGTCTAGCAGAAGGCAAGAATGAACGTTCGAGGCTGCCACAAATTGGTTAACGCGAGAAATTTCCTCGAAAATTTCGTAGAGTTACGAAGCATCTTATTTGTTCAGATCGAAATTGAATAGTCAAATTGCAAATGCTCTACGGACCATAATAAAATTAACAAGGTATGATAAATTAGCGTAAAAATTTATTTTAAAATCTAAGCAAATAATTCCGTCATCGATGCATGCGGGTGACGCAGCGGTCGAACTGTAAAACAACAGCTTATTCAGAAAAACAGTCTTCCTCGGTTTCCTTTATTTCCTCTCGACGATGGGAAAAGTATTTCGATTGGTAGACAACAATATGTTTGATTGTTTTCGTTATTAGCGTGTCAATGTACGTTTTAGTAGCGAGAAAAGCGGCACCAGTTTACTGGCTACCTGATAGCTGTTTGCCAATAAAGCGGAGTCCATTGACGATTCAGAAATATTCTTTGGTTGTTTGCGCGGTCCATTAGCGACTGTATGCCCTGGGATTAAAGCGTTGTACAATGTTAAATCTGTCGGGTTTACACGCAAAGCGGGCGGCTGGTTCCGCGGTCGTGCGGATTCGCCTATTGTTCGGAGCATGCTCTTGAAATTATCAGACAATGGCCGGTCTCTGTCCGGAGTATCGGGCGAGGACGGAGGTCGAGATCGCGTCTCTCGATTCCGCCGATCCCGAGGACCGAGCCGAAATTGCCGGCTGTAAACGCTCGATCCTGCGGTTAATTGCCAGTATCCTTTATTGAAACGTTCCCTGTCCTAATGGAATTGTAATTTTACGCAGTAAAAGCAGAAATCTCTCGTCGGTTTAGCGCGAGATGCAGGACTGGCAGAACTCGAAAAAATTGGATTTACCGATGATATTCGTTTCGGAATGGACGCGCAAACAGACGGCGGTCCACCAATCTCGCTGGCAGTTTCTTTAATCCAATTACCTGAGCAGTAAAAGCCCGGTGAGGAGACGCGCCGGACCACACAAACACCGCCCGTTTTCTCCGAGTTTCCGCCCGCCATCGCCACCATAAAACCCAGTTTTCCGTAACTCGGGGAGCTCGCCGAGAGTAAATTTCGTCCAGGACTGGGCCCGAACGCTACCGTCACGCGCAGAGACCCCGCAATAATCATCGTAAAATTAAAGGTTTATGAAACGAGGATTGCCGAGGCCTCGGGGATCCTTCTAGCACGTTGCGACGC